AAACAACCATCAGCAGAGATGTCATATTCTATGAAGGCGAAGAATGGGACTGGGGACTACATGCTGAAGACTACAACTTTTTCCCATACTTTCAAGTAGAAGACGTAAAGCAGCCAAGGATCGAGGAAGAAAGAGAAGAGCCTACTACTCCACAAACAACAAGTAATCAAAGCAACTCATCGTCATCAACTTCACAAGAAAATTCAAGTGAAAGAGTACCACGCTTCAGAAGATTAGAATAAAGGGCATAAGGCAATTGATGTGAAGTGGGTGTACAAAGCGAAGAAGAATTCCAAAGGAGAAGTTGAAAGATACAAGGCAAGATTAGTGGCAAAAGGCTACAGTCAAAGGGCAGGCATCGACTATGATGAGGTATTTGCCCCTGTTGCTCGATTGGAAACTATTAGACTAATCATCTCTTTGGCAGCTCAAAATAAGTGGAGAATACATCAGATGGATGTAAAATCTGCCTTCTTGAATGGAATACTTGAAGAAAAAGTCTACATTAAGCAGCCACCAAGATATGAAATCAAAGGGCAAGAAGACAAGGTTCTAAAGCTAAAAAAGGCTCTATACGGGCTAAAGCAAGCACCAAGAGCATGGAATAGCCGAATCAACAAGTATCTGCAAGAGAATGGCTTCATTAAATGTCCTTATGAGCATGCTCTTTACATCAAGAATGAGGATGAAAATGTCTTGATTGTTTGTTTATATGTTGATGACTTGATCTTCACAGGAAGCAATCCAAACATGTTTGAGAAGTTCAAATAAGCGATGACAAAGGAGTTCGAAATGACTGATATTGGGCTCATGACATTCTACCTTGGCATTGAAGTCAAGCAAATGGAAGATGGGATCTTCATCTCACAAGAAGGTTATGCAAGGGAGATATTAAAGAAATTCAAGATGGAGAATAGTCTACCTATAAAAACTCCTGTAGAATGTGGAGTCAAGCTATCACAGTTGATGAGGGAAAAAGAATTGATCCAACATTTTTCAAGAGTTTGGTTGGAAGTTTGCGCTACTTAACATGCACAAGACCTGATATTCTTTATGCTGTTGGACTTGTTGTATGTTGTTGGATTTGTCAGTCACTACATGGAGACTCTGATTGTTACCCACCTGAAGACTGCTAAAAGAATTATGCGCTATATCAAAGGTACAATTGATTTTGGCTTATTTTACTCATCATCCAACAATTTCAAGATGATATAAAGAGCACTACAGGGTTCGTGTTCTTCATAGGAGACACTGCTTTCACTTGGATGTCAAAGAAACAACCAATTGTCACTCTTTCTACTTGTGAAGCAGAATACGTGGCTGCAACCTCATGTGTTTGTCATGCAATTTGGCTTCGAAATTTATTAAAGGAGATAAGTTTACCACAAGAAGAGGCGATTAAGATTTGTATTGATAACAAGTCTGCAATCGCACTAGCAAAGAATCCTGTTTTCCATGATAGAAGCAAGCACATTGATATGCGTTATCACTACATCAGGGAATGCATCGAAAGAAGGGAGATACAAGTGCAGTACGTGAAGTCTCAAGACCAAGTTGTAGAAATTTTTACCAAGTATTTATCAAGCCGCTGAAGAGTAAAGACTTTATTAAAATGAGAAGTTTACTTGGAGCCACAAAATCAAGTTTAAGAGGGCGTGTTGAAATATAAACTTGTTTTAGTTGTTTAAATAAAGCTTAATTTCTATAAGCTTATTCTAGAATATGTGGTAGGTATGAAATTATTGTGTAGTAGGTGTGGTAGGTGTGGCAGGGGTTGAATTATTGTGTGGTAGGTGTGGAATTATTTGTAACCATTGGATTGTAATTGTGGTGGCACAATCCTAGCCATTAATTTAGGAGGTGCCACTAGTATAAATAGGGGTGGAGTCTTTGAGTTTGTATCAAGCCAAGTAAAGGTGTTAAATAAGAGTGAAGCTTCTTCCATAAGTTGTGCTTTTAGCCTTTGTCATTTCATAAAAGTTTCTCCATTCCAACTGTAGCATCCTTCACAATGTTTTTAACCAAATGCTACGTATTCGATCAAACTTGAAATCCTACTTCTTTATACATAGAGAACAATACACTACCAATACTTACTTACTCATCAACATAATTGCTAATTTGCCTAGTAGTAAGAAAAAGGAAAGATTGGCATACGGACCACTCAATTCTTATGTATTTACATGTCTAACACTAAAACATTAATTTTTACCTAAATTCCACAATACATATATTTGTAAAGTTTTATTTTACCTTCTAAAATTTAAAATGTTGGTCTTTTCTATATAATATGAAAGATTTGAGTACTATAAATGTAAAAAGTAAATACTTCAGAATTTGATGATGTGTGCCGAATTACAACCCAAAGGAATCTGAATAAAGAATCAATTCCTGCGCAATAACGTAAAGTTTCACCAACATAGCACGTTTACAGTAAATACGAGAGATTTCTTCAAGATTGCATTGCAAAAAAAAATTATGTATAATCTTCATGGAAAAGCAAACAAAGTATACAATTTTTATTTTCACATGAAATCGAACTATTAAACGGGCAAGAAACTACGATTAGGTGTCAACCAGATACAGCTTAGCAAACACGTGCATCAATGCAACAACAACAATGAATCCCACAACTCATGATAAGGACAGTGTTGGGAGATATCTTGAGGCCTATAATGTCATCGGTGTATAACTGTAGCATTGGTGGTGCAGCTCCTCCTGCAGCAGCACCACCGCCACCTGTTCTCCGCCTACGCAAACTAGCAGTTGCTGCTGCGCTGCCTCTTAGTGGAGCTTCTCCAATCGAGATTATTTTTCCTGCAAGTCACATAGAATAAAATGAATGTTTGAGAATGCGATAAAGAAAAGGCAAAAAATTTGTAACGCAAATAATTTGAATGTTATTGAGTAAAATATTAATATTTAAACATTATTCATTAATAATTCATAATTTAATAATTAATGTGATGCTTCAAAATACAAATTAATTTATCAAATGTTAATGAAACATTTCATTAAAAATAGATTGTGTAACTCTCGGTCTTCTCTCTACCCATTTAAGTGTAAAATTTTTCCCATTTGAGAATTAAATATTAAGTGCAAAATCTGGGCAAAGAGCAAGAAATCATAGTTTACGGAACTCCAGGGAAAATCATCATGAATCACGTTTCATTTGATGTCTCTAGTTAAATTTTCATAAAAATTACATTGATCAAGTTCTTGGATTTACATGTCTATGAAATTATCTTATTTTGCATTAATTTAAGAAGAAATTTTATGACTGCCATAAATATTCTTAAAAAATGAACTCTATCTACAGTTTGATATGAATGGCTAAATTTGGTATAGAGGTGGTTTGAATGACAATCCATAAATGACGGAAGCACGGAACCTAAAGTTGCTAGCAGAAAACCGGAAAAAGAAGGTTGTGCTAGCCTTAACCTACTTGCGAGTAATCGAGCAGCAAAGTGAACCGAACTGGTGAAGAGATTGCGTCTAACTCCTCCTTTAATCACGTTACCAAAGAACAACGAGCTAAGATGTCACTTGACAAAAATGGACAGCCTCTTCTGTAATATTCTCATGGCTGAAAGCGTCAAATGCGGTTATTAATAATTACGACAACCTTCATCTTGTGAATTGCTGCTTTAGTAAGCTAAATATGAATTTGAAAAATTTTCAAGCACAATTCAAATACATTTCAGATTGCATTAAAAGTCAAAAGCAGTAGTAAGGGAGTGAAACGAGTTACTCAAATTTCTTCAGGAATATTTACATACCTACCACTCATTCCTTTAATGTCATTTAATTGAGACATTTACGATCAATTATGAAATCGACTGTTTTTTATTCATACTTCTATAAAGCTAATTTAAGCTTTTTTTCAATATAATATATTTTTGTAAGAAATATAATGTGAAGTAAGTTTAAAAACAAGCATGTTATAATTTAAAATTAGTTGTTTTACAATTTACATTTTCTTTAAAAAAATTTGTTCCAATCTAATAAAAAAGACTGATGAAATTGATACAGATTTGAGACATCACATAAGCAATTTATAAAATGAAATTACTGATAGTATCATACGTATTATTTATGAGAGATTATGAGTTCAAATCAATGCCATTTAGCTTATTTTAGATTTAATTTTTGAGTCAATGGATGGCTGACAAATTGTAATCAGAAATTTTTGAAATAAAATAAAAAAGACTAATCTAATCTAAAATATGAAAATTTTGGAAAAGCGAAAGAGAAATAGTTTTTGGTGGGTGAAAATTAGTCTCGCTGAAAACTATTTTATAAATTTTTGTCAAAATTTGGAATCAACTTCAGCTAAAATCACATTTTTTACTAGCTTTTTTTCTTAATGATCGCACCACTCTACATTGTTATTGGCTTGGGGCGGTTGTCTTAGTAAAACGCTTATAAAATATATTATTTTTTTGAAGTTACTATAAATATTGTAATTTTATTCTTTTTATAAAAAATGTTACATAAAAATTCTCTTTTATTTAGCACGCTGTAAAATTTTATTTTTAAGAATCTGTCTCCCTCAAATTTTTCTTTAAGAAAAAAAATAAAAAAACTATATTTAAATAATATTAAAAAGTTGACAAAAAATTAATATTATATGAGAAAAAAGTAGATTTACATACATACCACGTAATTTTTAGGTAGTCTCAAAATCGTGTTTTACTGCTACAAATAATTTGGGATTACAAACTTATGCGTGCAAGTGTGTGTTTGATATTAAAAATTTCTCAAGATTGCATCGCCAAAAGCTTTATTTATATTCTTCTTAAATGACTCATCTAAGTATAATAACTTTGGAAAAGCAAACAAAGTCTACAATTTTTATTTTCACATGAAATCAAACTATTCCACGAGCTAAAATATCAACTACGATTAGGTGCCAACCAGATACAACTTAGCAAACACATGCATCAATGCAACAACAACGATGAATCCCACACTCATGATAAGCACAGTGTTGGGAGATATCTTGAGGCCAATATTGTCATCGGTGTAGAACTGTAGCATTTTTTGTGCAGCTCCTCCTGCAGAAGCACCGCCGCCACCTGTTCTCCGCCTACGCAAACTAGCAGTGGCTGCTGCACTGCCTCTTGTTGGAGCTTCTCCAATCGAGACCATCTTCCCTGCAAGTCACATAGAATAAAATGAACGGTTGGAAATGCGTTTAAAGAAAAGGTGAAAAGTTGTAACGTAAATAATTTGACTGTTATTAAATGAAATACTAATACCCATTAATAATTCATAATTTAATAATTAATATGATATTTCAAAATTAATTGATTCAAAATACGAATTACATTATTAAATGTTAATGAAACAGTTGATCAAAAATACAATAGATTGTGTAACTCACGGTCCCCTCTCCTCCCATTTAAGTATCATTTTTTTTTCCATTTAAGAATTATATATAAAGTGCAAAATCTGGGCAAAGAGCGAGGAATCATAGTTTACAAAACTCCAAGGAAAAGCATTATGAATCACGATTCATTTGATGTTTCTTAGTAAATTTTCATAAAAATGACATTGTTCAAGTTCTTGGATTTACATGTCTATGAAATTATCTTGATTTGCAAAAAATTAAGAAGAAATTTTATGAATGTCATAAATATTCTAAAAAAATGAACTCTACAGTTTGATAGGAATGGCTAAATTTGGTATAGAGGTGGTTTGAATGACAATCCATGAATGACGAAAGCAGGAAACCTATGGTTGCTAGCAAAAAACCGGAAAAAAATGGTTGTGCTGGCCTTAACCTTCTTGCGAGTAATCGAGCAGAAAAGTAAACTGGTGAAGAGATTGCGTCAAGCTCCTTCTTTAATCACGTTACAAAAGATCAACGAGCTAGGCCGTGACCAGACAAAACGGATAGCCGCTTCTGTAATATTCTGATGGTTGAAATACTCAAATGCGATTATTAGCGATTACAACCACCATCAACGTGTAAATTGTTGCTTTAAACGGCTAAATATCGATTTGAAAAATTTTCAGGCACAAATGAAATTCATGTTAGATTGCATTAAGTACTTGGATAAGTCAAAAAACCGTTGTAAAAGAATGAAATGAGTTACTCAAATTCCTTCAGGAATATTTACAAACCTACCACTTAATCCTTTAATGTCATTTTATTGAGACATTTACATCACTTATGAAATTGACGGTTTTTGGTTTATACTGAATTTGAACAGGCAACCAATAAAGCTAATTTAAGCTTTTTTTCAATATAATATATTTTTGTAAGAAAATATAATGTGAAGTCAGGTTAAAAACAAGCATGTTATACTTTAAAATTAGTTTGAATTGTTTTACAATTTATATTTGCATAAAAAATTTTGGTTCCAATCTAAGAAAAAAGACTGATGAATTTGATACAGATTTGAGACATGATGCGTGCTGGAAAATCCGCAGCGGTAGAGTAACGAATTATCGTATTAGCGTTTTACGAGAATTTAGCACACACACAGATGAAAAAGAAAAAAACAAGTTGTGACGACTCCAAAAACTTTTACGTGGAAAACCCGGAAAGGGAAAAAACTACGAGATCTGGTCCAATTGTGAAAATCCAATATTGATTGATTATTACAGAGTCCCACAAACGCGAAAGGGCTACTAGCTTTCCAAATTATAACGTCGACTGACGAAGTTTAGTTAGCAGCAGTCGACGGTAGTCGAGGACGGTCGATGGAGGTCAGTCGTGACGACGGTGGTTGACGGTGGTCGACAGAGGTCGACGGAGGTGACCTACAGTCGGTGGTGGTCAACGGTGGTAGGTGGTCGCCGACGGAGGTCAGCGGTGGTCGACGGTGGTCGGGGGTGGTCAACAGAGGTCGGCGGTGGCAAAGATGATATTGGACTTGAGCTCTTTCTCAGAGCCTCCAGTTGTCTCTCCAGCCTCCCACTTTCATGTGAAGGGTGAGACTCTATTTATAGTGTTTTGAGTGCAATTAATGCAGGAATATAAACCATTTTGATCAGACGGTCCGGAGAGTTTCTCTTGATCAGATGATGATTAATGGACATTTGAGTGCCTTAACAATGTCAAAATTGAGAAATCTTGGGATCGCTGAATTCGTCTTGTCGAGACGCTCGATTTGACTATAAACTTGCTAGATTTGACATCCGTTTGACCTGTAAAATGCATCCGAAAATCCTGTAATAGTGGTTTAATGACTTGATCCGAGCCTGATTTGACTCGGATTGGATCGGATTGGACTGACTTTCCTGACTTTCATATCATTAGGTCTGTTTCATCGAGCTGATCAGTTTGACTATAAGTTTGCTGAAATCGGAGCTCTGTATGACTATATCAAAATTTGAATGTATCCTGCTTAAAATGTATTCGTATCATGCCTCGAGATTTGTGAAGGATGATGAAAATTTGTTGGTGGCGTATCAATTGTATAGTATTTTTTTGCATATATATATA